CGGGTTTTAAATCATTATAAAATCAATATTTAAAACAAACTTACCTTCATTAACGTCGGCTCCCTTCTTTTAGCCGATTCTTTCGCCCTTTCTTTCTTTCTTTCTTTCTTTCAGAAATACGAGCAAAAATGAAATATATTTGCAAGAAATTTATCAATCATCAAATCAAGAAATGTTTGCTATTGTTTGTTCGTCTGTTCGTCATGTAGTCGTTATAATGCAAACTTTGAATTGGACCAATCAGTGTCCGTTATTCATGACAGTCCGCCATATTTTTGAGATCAGTGAGGATGACCACCCATCGTTGGTGACCGACGCCCGCGCTCATTGATGAACTTTAGACTTCGCTAATGCTTTCGTTTCCCCGGGTGTAAATAGCCGGGGGGAATTAGTACCCTCGTACGGCGCTTCGCGCCGTCGGCTCGGGGGCTAAGACCACGGTTGCATTTTGATAGAAAAATTTGAATATTTATATATATTTTTGAGTGCTTCTGTGTCCAAATGGTCCAATGCAATTGGTCGAGATATTCACGTGACAGCTGTCCAACCTCCGCCTACTTTATCAAAACAGACACCTACTCGGTTAGCACTTTTTTCCATCCAGCAAATCGCCCTATCGATTTTGTAAAGTCGGTTTTTTTATTTTTTTATTAATTCGGTTAGGGTTAGGGTTAGGGTTGAGGTTAGGGTTAGGGGTTTGAGTAGGGGTAGGGTTTGGGTTAGTTACATAGCCATTTAACACCTCTTCTATCTTGCGAAAATGACGTCACGTCAGTTTGCTGGATGGAAAATAGTGCTAACCCACCTACTCTGAATTACTCTGAATAATTCTGAAAGCAAAATAGTCATCGCCCGGGAAAATTAAACAATTCAAAATGGCCACTATCGAAATTTTCTCGGGCGATGACTACTAAGACCAGCATTCCTCGCGGGCATCAAGCCTTGTGACGTCAATGTGCATAAGGTCGATTAGTGAAAAAAATTGCTCGTCTGTATCCGGAACAAAACGGGAAGGCATTTTGGTTTTGTCCCGAAGGTGAACAGTCCAAGGATCAAATTGCGCGAAAAGCAATATCCACCTCCCAAGTATATGCTAAACTCTAAAGAACATTGTTCCATAAGATTTTATAGCATTGAATTTAGTTTGGCAAACTTTTACAATCAAAACAAGGTCGCAGTACATTCTCTGAAAGTACCTTCTTCTCCGAGAGTGAATGACTTTGCACTTTGTTAAAACCGGTTTATTTCGGGTTTGTTTACAGCATTGCTTAATGTTGTACTAGTAAAATAAACGTAGAAACCTCTCAAATCCGTCCGTTTAAGGATATGTCTGGTGTTTATTAATAGCAGTGATAATAATAAAGTTTTACCTTTTAGCTACAATTCCCCCTGCTATCAATTCTCCTGCTACCACTCCTCGTGCCACCACTACTCCTGCTGCTACTACAACTCTTGCTACTACTCCTTCTGCTACTACTACTCCTGCTACCAATCCTCTTGCTACCACTCCTCTTGCTACCACTCCTCCTGCTGTTACTACAACTCCTGCTACTACTCCTGCTACCAATCCTCCTGCTACCACTCCTTCTGCTACTACCACTCGTCCTGCTACACCTCCTCTTGCTGCTACCACTTATCCTGCTACTACTACTCCTGCTACCAATCCTCCTGCTACCACTCCTCCTGCCACCAATCCTCCTGCTACCACTCCTCCTGCTACTACTCCTCCTGCTGCTACTACAACTCCTGCTAATACTTCTCCTGCTACCAATTCCCTTGCTACCACTCCTCATGCTACCACTCCTCCTGCTACCACTCCTCCCGCTACCACTCCTCCCGCTACCACTCCTCCTACTGCTACTACAACTCCTGCTACTACTCATCCTGCTACTACTCCACCTGCTACCACTACTCCTGCCGCTACTACAACTCCTGCTACTACTCCTTCTGCTACCACCCCTCCTGCTACCAATCCTCTTGCTACCATTCCTCCTGCTACTACTCCTCCTGCTGTTACTACAACTCCTACTACTCCTCCTGCTACCAATCCTCTTGCTACCACTCCTCCTGCTACCACTCCTCCTGCTACTACTCCTCCTGCTCCTGCTGCCACTACAACTCCTGATACTACTACTCCTGTTACCACTCCTCCTGCTACCACTCCTCCTGCTACCACTCTTCCTGCTACCAATCCTCCTGTTACTACCACTCCTCTTGCTGCTACTACAACTCCTGCTACTACTCCTCCTACGGCCACTACAACTCCTGCTACTACACCTGCTACTACACCTGCTACCACTCTTCCTGCTACCAATCCTCTTGCTACCATTCCACCTGCTGTTGCTACAACTCCTCCTACTACTCCTCCTGCTACCACTCCTCCTGCCACCACCCCTCCAGCTACCACTCCTCCTGCTACCACTCCTCCTGCTACCACTCCTCCTGCTACCACTCCTCCTGCTACCACTCCTCCTGCTACCACTCCTCCTGCTACCAATCCTCCTGTTACTACCACTCCTCCTGCTGTTACTACAACTCCTGATACTACTCCTCCTGCTACCACTCCTCCTGCTACCACCCCTCCAGCTACCACTCCTCCTGCTACTACTCCTCCGGCTGGTACTACAACTCCTGCTTCTACTCCTTCTGCTACGTCCCTTCCTGCTACTACCACTCCTACTACTGTTCCTACTACAGGTGAGTTGGAAAACTGTATAGAGAATATAGACCAGTTCGAAAAATAGTTGTCATTCTTTTTTATTTCCATTGATTCAATCTAAGATTCAATTATTCAAACTTAGGATTCAGTGATTCAATCTTAGGATTCAATGATTCAATTTTAGGTTTCAATGATTCAATCTAGGATTGAATAATTCAATCTTAGGATTCAATTATTCAATTTCAGGTTTCAATAATTCAATCTAGGCTGATTCAATGATCCAAACTTGGGATTCAATGATTCCATTTTAGGTTTCAATGATTCAATCTATGATTTAATGATTCAAATTTAGGATTCAATTATTCAATTTTAGGTTTCAATAATTCAATGTAGGATTCAATGATTCAAACTTGGGATTCAATGATTCAATTTTAGGTTTCAATGATTCAATCTAGGATTCAATGATTCAAACTTAGGATTCAATTATTCAATTTTAGGTTTCAATGATTCAATCTAGGATTCAATGTACAATCTTAGGATTCAACGATTCAATTTTAGGTTTCAATGATTCAGTCTCAGGATTCAATTATTCAATCTAAGATTTAATGATTTAATCTTAGGATTCAATTATTCAATCTATGATTCAATAATAATAATAATAAATAAATAATTTTATTTGCACACATACAATTACATAGGAAAAGAAATACAAGAAAGATAGAAAAAATACTGTAAAATAATGTGCAAAATCACCTATAATAACCATAAAGGGCTAATCTAGATAGGTGATCTGCTAAACAACAACGTCTATAAGTTAAGTGCACGCATAATAAGTAAGGTAGAGGAAAAAATATTGTTAAAGTCGCCGTAAAATTATCATTTTGATATAAAGCAATCAAAAATAATTTAAGTCGCTTTTTGAACACTTGTTTATCTAGCATTTTCAGGGACTCCTTAATAGAATTCCATAAATGTGGACCACAGTATCTAATATTAAAGATACCATAGTTAGTTCGAATCTTAGGTAGAACATACGATAATTCAGATGATAGCCTAGTATTATAGTTATGAACATTCACCACTTTTTTGAAAAAATCAGAAAAAATAAGCGGAAGAGTACCATGATGAAATTGATACATAAATAAGACTGTCAAATAATGAACTATATCAGGGAATTTTAGTAAGTTTAATTCTTTAAAAAGAGGAGAAGAGTGAGTTCTAGGAGGCGAGAAAGTTATAATACGTATTGCCTTTTTTTGTAATAAAGTCAACGGTAAAATGTTAGATTTGTAAGTATTACCCCATACAATAGCACCATATATTAAAAATGGGTAAATTATAGAGTAATAAATCTGAATTAATAATTCAATATGAACAAAGCTACGAAGCCTTAATAATATTCCAATACCACGGGATATCTTTTTACAAAGTTCCTTAATATGCTCCTTCCAACTAAGATTAGAATCAATAATTACTCCTAAATATTTTAAACTACTTTTTTGAGTGAGAACTTCATTATTGATAGAAAGACAAACATTTTGATTAAGTTTCTTTTGAAAAGGGTGAAAAATAAGAAAGTGCGATTTATGAACATTTAACGATAATTTGTTGGCACATAACCATTTATGGATATTAGTTAATTGTTGATTCAAATGCAATTCAAGAGACGATAATTTATTGTCAGAGTAGAAAAGATTTGAGTCATCGGCAAAAAGATGAAAATCTAATAAATCAGATGAGCTATTAAAATCATTGATATATATTAAGAAAAGTAAAGGACCCAATACTGAGCTTTGTGGTACACCACATACAACTTCATTAAGATTAGATTTTAAATTACCAACAGAAACAAACTGTTTTCTAGCTTTCAAATACGAATTAAACCATTTAATGGTTATACCTCTGATTCCGTAATGCTGCAATTTATATAACAAAATAGAATGATCAACTGTATCAAATGCTTTACAGAAATCAAGAAATATTCCACAAGAAACAAGTTTCTCCTCAATTGCTCTTTGAATTTTATCAACGATAAGAATTATAGCATGTAATGTTGAGTGATTTTCCCGAAAACCAAACTGTGCAGGAAATATAACATTATTTTTGTTAAGAAAATCTATCAGCCTAATATACATCAATTTTTCTAGCAGTTTACTAAATACAGAAAGTAAAGAGATTGGTCGATAATTAGATAAATTGGACCTTTTTTATAAATGCGTACAACTTGTGCAATTTTAAGATTGTCAGGTACAATTCCAGTTGAAAATGAACAATTAAAGATATAACTTAATGGTAAAGATACACGGGTTTTGATAATCTTCAATAAATTAATTGGAACACTAAATGGCCCAGTTGATTTACCTAATTTTAAGTTCATAATTAAATTTTCAATCTCATAACTATCAGTTGGAAAAAGCATAAAGTTATTACTTAAAGGCCTTTTAAGAAAACTATTAAAAGTAGAATTAACACTAGGAATATTTGCAGCAAGCTTAGGTCCAATTGATGTAAAATAATCATTAAATTTAGAAGCAATATCAGTAGGATTAAAAATTCTTTCATTTTCCACCTCAATTAATGTTGGAAAGGTATGATTAGCTTTTTTTAATGTAATTAGTTGTTTAATTCCCTTCCAAAATATTTAATGTTATCCTTTCTCAATCGAAAATAATTGTTATAGTAATTCTTTTTACTTATAAGCAATAAATGTTTTAGTTTATTTCTGAATGATTTAAATTTTGATAAATAACAATGATTTTTTGTCTTAAGATATAATTTATAAAGCTTATTTTTATTTTTAATTGAAGTTCTCAAACCTTTTGTAATCCATGGTTAAGTTAACCATTTAACTTTATTTTTAGACATTTTTTTTAAAGGAACATGTTTATCAATAATTGTAATAAGTTTGTCATAAAATGTATTAAATGCAGTTATTACATCATCGGTATTTGTAACAGTATTCCAATCCACGGCAGAGATTTCTTCATTATAGTGTGAATAATCTCTTATAAAAATTTCTTTATTATATGTTTTATAATTCAGTTTACTTACAATAAGAAACTTTGGAAGGTGATCAGAGATGTCACAAATAAGATTCCCACTGATAGTAACATGTTCAATAGAATTAAAATAAATGTTATTAATCAATGTAGCAGAGTGGTCAGTAATTCGAGTGGGTTGAAGAATATATGGTTGAAAGAAATAGGAAGACATTGTATTGAGAAAGTCATCAGTACCATCATCAGACTGAAATTATAGTAAATTTCAATGATTCAATCTTAGGATTCAATGATTCCAACTTAGGATTCAATGACTCAATTTTAGGTTTCCATAATTCAATCTAAGATTCAATGATTCAAACTTAGGATTCAACGATTCAAACTTAGGATTCAATGATTCAATTTTAGGTTCCAATGATTCAATCTAGGATTCAGTGATTCAAACTTAGGATTCAATTATTCAATTTTAGGTTTCAATGATTCGAATCTAGGATTCAATCATTTAATTTTAGGATTCAATGATTCACTTTTGGGATTCAAGGATTCAATCTAGGATTCAATGATTCAATCTTAGGATTCCATGATTCAATTGTAGGTTTCAATGATTCAATCTAGGATTCAATGTACAATCTTAGGATTCAATGATTCAACCTTAGGATTCAATGATTCAATTTTCGGTTCCAACAATTCAATCTAGGGTTAAATGTACAATCTTAGGATTCAATGATTCAATCTTAGGACTCAATGAGTCAATTTTCGGTTTCAATAATTCAATCTAGGATTCAATGTACAATCTTAGGATTCAATGATTCAATCTTAGGATTCAATGATTCAATGTTCGGTTTCAATAATTCAATCTAGGATTCAATTATTCAAACTTAGGATTCAATTATTTAATTTTAGGTTTCAATGATTCAATCTAGGATTCAATCATTCAATCTTAGGGATTTAATAATTCAATCAATTCAATGGGATTTAATAATTCAATCTTAGGATTCAGTAATTCAAACTTAGGATTCAATTATTCAATTTTAAGTTTCAATAATTCAATCTAGGATTCAATGATTTAATCTTAGGATTCCATGATTCACTTTTGGGATTCAAGGATTCAATCTAGGATTCAATGATTCAATCTTAGGATAAAATTATTCAAAGTTAGGATTCAATGATTCAATCTTAGGATTCAATGATTCAACTTTAGGTTTCAATGATTCAATCGGGATTCAATTATTCTAACTTAGGATTCAATTATTCAATTTCAGGTTTCAATGATTCAATCTAGGATCCAATGAATCAACGATTCAGTCTAGGATTCAATGATTCAAACTTAGGATTCAATGATTCGATTTTAGGTTTCAATGATTCAATGTAGGACTCAATGATTCAATACTAGGATTCAATTATTTAATTTTAGATTTAATAATTCAATCTTAGGATTCAATAATTCAAACTTAGGATTTAATTACTCAATTTTAGGTTTCAATAATTCAATCCAGGATTCAATGATTAATTCAAAGTTAGTCAATTTTAGGTTTCAAAGATTCAATCTAGGATTCAATGTACAATGTTAGGATTTCACGATTCAATGTTAGGATTCAATGATTCAATTTTCAGTTTCAATAATTCAATCTAGGATTCAATGATTCAAACTTAGGATTCAATGATTCAATTTTAGGTTTCGATGATTCAATGTACGATTCAATGATTCAATCTTAGGATTCAATTATTCAATCTTAGAATTCCATGATTCAATTTTACATTTCAATGATTCAATCTTAGGATTCAATTATCCAACCTGAGATTTAATGATTTAATCTTATGATTCAATTATTCAATCTATGGTTCAATGATTCAATCTTAGGATTCAATGATTCCAACTTAGGATTCCATGACTCAATTTTAGGTTTCCATAATTCAATCTAAGATTCAATGATTCAAACTTAGGATTCAATTATTCAATCTTAGGATTCAATGATTTAATTTCGGGATTTAATAATTCAATCTTAGGATTCAGTAATTTAAACTTAGGATTCAATGAT